GAAAGTATCCAGGGGACTCTGGCTTCACCTACCAATGTTAGGGCTCATTTCCACATATTCCTTTCATTTCAGCCCAGTAGCCTGGGCGGGAAGAGGCTTCACATTATTTGGTGACAAACCAACGTTGAACAGATGCTCCACCATACAAAGGAATTAGGTCTCCTCCGTGGGTGACTGTTATAAATAACCCATGCCGTAATGCTGAGTCAAAATGGGAGACTTGAAATTCGACCGACAGTAACAGTAATAAGGATAACATTTACTGAGAGCTTCCTAGGGGCCAAGCACTGTTCTAGGCATTTTACGTGACTTCATCCTCACAAAAACCCTACAAAGCAGGTACGCTTAGTAGCTCCATTTTACGGATGAGGAAACTGAGGCTCAGAGGGGTGCAGTAACTTGCTTTGAGGTCATACAGCTGGCGAGCAGCAGAGCCAGGATTCACACTGCGGCCACTGGTTCCAGAGCCCAAACGCTTGGCTATTACTCCCTAGGCACCCTCTACCTTTCCTATCTAGAAATTGCTGCTGGGAAGTTGTGACAAGATGCTCAGGGAGCCTGAGAGCTTTCTGAGGAACAGATCCTGGCAACAGAACAGTTAAACGTCATAGTTACAAAAATACTAAATGCTGTTAGGATTCTCTCCTAATTCAATTTGGATTTTTTTAGACCAGACACTCCTATGCGAATGCAATAGCTCCTGACACACGAAACATAATTAGAGAGTGGGGAGGGGGGAGCTGACACAAGTGGCAGGCATAAATTTAGCTTCCAGTGACATTCTGGATGTTCCGTTATCAGGGCGGAAGCAAAAGCAGTGAGGAAAGACAGATGCCCGGCTTCCAGCCATTGGTTCAGCTCAGGCTCTGGGATACAGCTGCCAGCCAGGCCCTAGAAACGCTCTGGAACCCATGGACCATTCTGTGACTGCTGTTCCAGCTGAAGACTGAGGGTCTTCTCTCCTCCTTACAACGTCCACTCACTCATCCGGTCACAATTCTGCTTCCTAAGCATTTCCTGAACGAACCCCGCACCCCAACCCTTTGCCTCCCACCACCTCACCAGCCTCTTTCCTTTCTCCCTCCTGCCTATTACTGCCCGGCCAGGAGCGCGTTCTGAAGCTTAGACCTGACTGTAGCACATACCTGCGCAAACATCTCCGCCAACGGACTACTAAGCGGTCATTCATTACACAGGAAGCCAGGCACTGGTGGCAGGAGTCTAACCTGGTATCACCCCTTTGGTGGACAATCTGGTAAAGTTAAAACACGTTGCCTCTGACCCAGAAAACCCATTTCAAGGAGTTTATCCTACAGATACACTGACAAGTGTGAAATGACTGTACGAGATAGATTTCAGCCTGGCCTGTAACAGCAAAGGGCTGACACAGCTCAACAAACCACGGAGGACTCTAAGCCAAGGTTCTCACACTTGAACACACATCAGATTCACCAGGACGGCTTGTGAAAACAGCCTGCTGGGCCCACCGGAGTTTCTCATTCAGAATTTGCAGTTCTCAGCCCATGAACCTGGTCTGCACGGCGAAGGCCACGGCGCAGCTGCCCGCTGGGGTCAGAAGCCACCATGCTGAGGGCGCGTGGAGGGTGCTAGTTCTGTTCGGCCCCAGGCCCCCTGCCCTTGGGCTGCCGGGTGGAGGGTGCACCTGGCTTCTATCTGACCCGGGGTCCTCCCCTCCCCAAGGTCTTGTCCTCCAGCCGTCTGCGGTCTGCGGATATGCCATGGATATGCCATCCAGGAACTAGTCCGACCCAGCCAAGAAGACGTCCCGCCCCTTCCACGCTGCTCAAAGATTACCAGGACGTTCTGGAATTGAGAAGGCTGATGTCGAGAAAAGACTCTTCTCTTTGGAAAAGGTGAACTGGAAGGAGAAGCTAAAAATCAAGCAACAACAATAAAAATCACACACACACACACAAATCAAGCAAGAACAATGGATGAACAAGGTTGTGGCAAACCCTGAGGACACCAGCGCCCTGAAGGCCCTAAGTGTTGCCTTGATGGTCAAGATCCGCAATTATGAAGAGCACATGTAGAAACACGTGAGGGACATAGCCCTCAAGCGCTACCTGCTGACGAGCATTGCTCAGAGGAAAAAGATGCTCCCTAAGACCAACTACAATGTCTTTGAGAAAACGTGCAAGGAGCTGGGGATTGAGTCCACCTTCCCCTCTGTACTGCCGAAAAGCCCACTGCAGCTGGGTGACCAAGAAGGCTCTGTGCAACTGGGTTTACCAGGAGGTTTAAAAGCCGAAGAAGCAACAAAGGGCTTTAAAAGCAGCAGCAGCCCGGAAACAAGGCCAGATGAACCCAAAGAGCTCTTCCAGAGTCAATCAAGGAAAACCAATACATTTTGTTCAAGTTAAAAAAGAAAAGAATTTGCATTTCTCACCAATTCCCAGGTGGTGCTGAGCCATGCTCTTGGCGTGCAGGCAGGACCACCACTCCATAGGTACTGATGTATTTATCACCAACATATATTCAACGAAAAAAAGAAAGGTGCAAAAAAGTGCATATGAAGTATAACAGTTATATAGCAAAGGTGAGGAAAGCATGTTTATTTGTAAGGGCACAGAATCTCCTGGAAACAGGTAACAGGTCTGCTACCACTGGGGAGGGAACGTGGGACACTGGTGGGGGAGGAAGACTCACTGTGCACCCCTGTTCTTTTGGAATTCTATACCATGAGCGTGCATTACCCACCCTCCTTGCCGTAGGACAATGAGGTAGATCCATGAGTGCTGACAGGAAAATGACCAAGACAATGTTAAAGAAAACACACACACACACACACCTAAGTTGCAGAGCATTATGCGCTATAAATCCTAATTTTTAGAAAAATAAATTTACATATGGATATATACACGGGCACACACACGTTTGTATAAACACAGAAAAACGTTCTGGAAGGTTACACACCAAACAGCCAACTGGCTTACTTCCAAGGAGTGGTACTGAGAAGGCTTTTCCTTTCATTTCTGCATGGTTTGAATTTTCCCCCAAGAGCAACTGTGCAGTACTTTTGTAACCATGAAGATTAACTGTTGCATCGTCCTCAGGAGTCAGTACCTCAGAAAGCCTGTGGCTCCCTAAGCATCTTCTTGTCCCCCATCCAAGCCCCTGTTGGGCTCACCTCACACTACTCCCCGCCTCCCCTGTGGTCCCAGGCCGCCCTCTCTTCCTGTTCCTCCTACTGAACTCTTACCCTCCATGCAAAGACAGCTGCTGTCAACTCTAGGAGGCACATCAGCCTTCAGTTTAGTTGGCTGGTCGCACATCTGTTTCTCTTTGGTGACTGACACTGTGAGGGCAGGGCCTGGCCTTCTTCGTTCCGGCACCACTGGTACCCAGCCCAGGGCCTTGCACAGCGCAGGAGCCCAGTCCAGTTGGCTGAGGGGCTCCTCGAAGTGACAGGCTCGGCGCCTTTGAAGGAATCTGCTGTGCAGCTACTGCTGGGCCTGGGATCTGCTCTTTTCTGGGAACACAGGTCTCTGACAGGGATGGGCACCCATGCCTACTTCTTCCTAACACCCTCCTAGATGCCCCACTTCCTTCTCCTCCTCATTTCACTAATTTGCCTGTTACGAACAAGTTGGTCTCAGGGAGAATTCTGTCCTCACATGCCCTCTCTCAGCTGTCTTTGGGGTTTAACACTGATGGGAAATCAAAACTCTTGAGCCCCCATATTGACTTTCCTCTCTCCCTGCCAAATGACTGGGGAAGCATGACTCAGGGCAGAAAAAGGAAGTCATTTGGCCAGCCCTTTCCCTAGGCCAAAATGCCACTTGGGTATCATTTAGGGGCACCTCCATGGGATTCTATATGTAGGGGCACCTGTGTATCAAGGAGAGGGCCCCCGACGAGGACCAGCAGCACCCGGTTCTGTCACTTTTTGGCAGAGTGATCTTGAGAAGCCATTTCTTTGACCCTCAGCTTCTTTCTCCGTACAATGGGATAATAAAACCGGCCCTGCTCGCCGCACTCGGTTGCTGGGAGAATAAAGGAGGGTGAAGGCCTGGTAAACTTTACAATATCCTAGTGGTGGGAGGCTACTAAGTAAGGATCGGGCCCTTTAGACTTCATGCACTGTCTTCCAACCCCTGCTGTCCTATAGATGCTGGGGGAGGTATGTGAGGTGACAGTGGATCTAAAGCTCTCCTCTATCCAGACCCTCTCTCCAGCCACCCCATCTTCTAAACTGCTCCGCACCCCTACTTACCTGGTTTCCTCATTCCTAGAATGTCTGCTCAGCACAAAATCGCCCTGCCCTGCCCTGCCCAGCCCCAGGGGTCCCCAGCTTTCTCCTTAAACCCTGAGCACTACCTGTAATGCAGTCACAGAGCCAGTGATTCCTCCCTCGTCCAGACACCTAAACGCCCTGGTCACAGGGCTCAGAACCACTCCTCTCTGTAGCATCCCCACACCCTAGACAATGGTGCAAGTTCAGGGAATTTTGTTGCCTGAAGGGTGTTTTCTGAAGAGATTAGTGATCCCTATGCGGAGAAGCTGCCAAGAATTGCTCAGTTTTGGGAGCCCCTCAGATGAACTGCCCAGCGTACACATGCTGCCCCTCACCTCCTAGGTCCTGGTCTATTTCAGAATCTCTCCCTGCACCGAAGTGTCTGCCAGAAAGGTATTGTTAGGGGGGCTGACGGCCACCTGAATGCTGCTTAAAAGGGGCAGCGCAGAAAGGTAAATGGGGCCAACTTCCTGCCTATTCCCCTCGGCATCTGACCACAGAGAGAACCAGCGGCGGGGCCCTTGCATCCTGGGGAAGAAAGGTGGCAGCTTCAGCCACTGCTCCAGTTGGGTAACGTTTCAAGAAGGCGGCATGAGCAGTTTCAAAAGTGGCAGTTGCTCTGTGGGCCTGCCCGCTTGGGGTAAGGCAGCTTCCGCTCAGGTTCAACTTCAGGTCTGGGTGGGGAGGAGCAGCGGGAGCTGCAGAGCAGGAGGCTGTGGAGGAGGGGATTGGGAGCCGGGAAATGAGAAGCCATTGGTACCGTGGGCTAGAGAGGGCTTAATTTAGGGAAGGGTGGGGGCAAGAGGAGGAGAGGTGGAAGGTGCTGGGTTCTCGCTGGTATCCGATGGGACAGGGGCTGAGGAAAGCCAGGGATGTGGTCTGGCCAGTCTCACCCGGGATGCCAACAGCAGCTCAGTTTCTCAGCTGGTAGGCATTTGGTGGAGGGACTGTCGTGGGTGCATAAAGAGAAAGGCTACTTTGAGGTAGGGTCAGGGCCTGGGGTGGGAACAGGGTTTAGGCTCAAGTAAGACAAGGTTAGCTGGTTGTCAGGGAGAGGAAGCCAGTCAAATAAGGTGTCTACGCCTGGTTAAAAAGGGGGGCACCAAGTTGCCTGCTGACTGAAACTGGTTCCAGAAAGTGATGTGAAAAACTGTAAGCTGGGGCCATCCTCCTAGGTTTTTAAAATTACTATTATTATTATTATTGTTATTATTTTTGAGGCAGGGACCAGGGCCTGATCTGGGGACTGTGGGAGAGCACACTACAGGCCACGGATTCCAGTTAGACAGGTCCGAGTCCAGGGCTGGGCCTGGACGCTAGACAATGCCCATGCCCTGGGCTGGGGTGTGGCAGGGCTCCCGACAGAGGGATGACACCACCTGGACCACTTAGGGGTCCTCAGGACCAGCGCCCCCCCAGGGGCAGAGCGGGCTGATGCGGAGCCAGGACGGGGTGAAGGTCTCAGGGGGGATGAACAGCCAGAGCAGAGGCTGGGCTGGGTCCAGCTGGCTCGGAACAATCAGTACCGGAATCAGAGTGAGGGTCGGCTGGCAGCGCTAGAACCCAGGCCCTATCCGGGGCAGGGCCAGTAGCCGGATCGCGGGACGGGGCCCGGAGGGTGCAGCGCCCCAGGCCATCGCGGGAGGTGGGCCAGGGGTGGGGAGGGGTGGGGGTCAGGCGCTGGGAGGGGAGGTGTCTGTCTCTCCCACGGCGGGCGGGGCGGGCCCGTGTCAGCCGTCGCCCGGGTGGGGGTGGAAAGCACCGGTTCTGCCGCCGACCCTACCTTGCCGCGGGCGCAGCGCACGGAGCGCAGGGCGCCGAAGAAGATGGGCAGCAGCGCCATGAGCAGGAGGCTGCCGTAGGCCAGCGCGATGCCCTCGGGCGTGGAGGGCGGCCGCGTGGTGCCGTTGGCCGGGCTGCCAGCCTCGGCGCTGGCGTTATGCGGGTCACTGAGGGCTGAGTCCATAACGAAGCTGCGCTCCGGGTCCGATTCCAGTTCCGGCCGCTGCATCAGGAGATGGGCACTGCGGGGAAAGCCACGTTCCCCTAAAGAAACAGGAAGTGACGTGCCTCCCGCGCCGCCAGGGCCGCGCACGCGTGCACGTCTCTGCGCCCGAGCGCCCTCTAGCGGAGGCGGAGGGCCCGGCGGCCGGTTGCTAAGCAACTTGCTAGATGCGATCAAGAAAGGATCACGAGACCCCTGCGGTGGGCGTCCCTTCTGAGAGAGACCAGAGTATCCTATTCTCAGTCGCAGTGGACTTCCTCAGTCGACCGGACTGTCCCAAAGATCCCAATCCTCATAACTAAGAATTCATTTACTCACGCATGCATTCATCCAATATTCCATTGTTCCTTCACTCCTTAAATATTTGAATAGCCCATTATATGCCAGGCACTGTCATAGGCTCTGAGGACACTGAGAAGGAATAATGTTAGGGGAAAAAAATAGGATATTGGGGACTCGATATAGTTATAAGAAATATTAATCATGCTCTGTTAACCGTGATGGTCTTGTTCTGATTAAAGAAAGGACCTTCTAACCTGACTGGGAGTTGTACGCCCCTGGGACCTAGGAGTCAACTTTAGACCTGGCAGTCAACCTTGGACCTGGGAACCAGCTTGGAATGTGGTCCCTTCTCATTCAAGAACTACCTAATATCACGGAAGGAATACCGACCTTGTTGCCCAAACAATGAAGTCCCACCCCAGCCCAAATTGCATACTTCCCCAAGCATGTAATCCCTACTTCCCCATGTAATCTTTGCCCTTCTTCTCAAGATAAGCAGCTGGCTTATGGAAGGTTGCAGAGCAGGTTTTTGTGGATGACCCGCTGCTCTCCCATACCGCTGGCATTATTGGAATAAACGTTCTTATATGATTCAACCCTGTCTCTGCTTAATTGGCTCAAGTAGTGACAGGCAGCCTGGACCCACTGGTTGTCCGGTTTCAATAATACAGGCAAATGTCTGTCCCTGCCCTCATTAAGCTTGCATTTTTAGTTTGGTGGAATGGGTGGTGGTGGCGTTGGGAAAACAATATATAACATGAACAAAATAAAATATGAAGTCTATAAGATGCTAGTGTTTAGTTATATGTTACATAGCATGTTAATGGAGATAAGTAATTTAGAGAGGCCTCCCTCTCTGGGAACCCACTACACTTCTGTATATGGCTTGGGCCAGGGTGGTTCCAGACCGTTCCACAGGGTGAAGTTCAGGTGGCTGTCTGTGTAGATGAGCAGCCCTGTGGGGCTCCCAGTGTGTGTGTGATCAGGGATGAGGAGCGGGTGTGGGTAGGAGTGACCCGGACTTGGCTGCAGGCCCATGCTGTCTGGGACTCCTGGCTATGTTACTGCTGCCCTAGTTAAGAGCTGGAGAAAGTGTGTCAGACAAACTGGAGAAAGCTGCAACCTGCAGGCACCTAGCACTGGCGAAACTTTGAGCCAAGCAGTGGAGAAGAAAGCCTGCTTTCCAGAACCCAGGAAATGAGCCACCTAGAACCAGGAGGGGAAGATCCATTCTCCTCCGGGGCCTTCTAGTATACTCTACTGAAAAGGTTTATCGTGCCAGCTGGCAAAGGAGAATTTATTTATTTATTTTTTACTGTAAGAGAACATTTATTTGGTAAATTACACAGGTAAAAGTAATTCCTAGAAGAAGCCGATAACCCGAATAGTGAGCTGAGGTATTTTCCGGGGGTCGTGTCTTGTGACACCGAAGAATGAGCTCTGTGGACCAGAAGATTTAAGCAAAAGCGTGGAAATTTATTACAAGCCGATTGAGACTCCCCTCGCGGGGAGGGGGGTGGGGCACCAGTAATGGGCTGCCCTTTAAAGCCTTGTAGTCCAGGGGTGTATATTTGCTACAAGCCTGCTCTATATCTCTCCATGTCGTCACCTGATTGATTCCCTCATTGTTCATGCCCAGCAACGGAGGACCTGAACTTTCCCTGTTTCTGTGTGTTCTTTCTCTGTCCCTATGCTGAACTTTCTCTGTTTCTGTGTGTTCTTTCTCTGTCCCTATGCTGAACTTATCTGTTTCTGTGTGTTCTTTCTCTGTCCCTAAGCTGAACTTATCTCTGTTTCTGTGCATTCGTACACCTTATTGTTGCAGGCCCTTCCTCGGTTTCCCTGGCCTCCCGCTTTGAGTCCAGAAACATTTTGTTATTCCTGCTTGGTTGGTTTCTGTGATTAGGCTGCTCAAGGGCCGTGTCTGCCCGGCCTATGTCCCACCTGCCTTTGTTTTCCACTGGACCCCTGCCCTGCCTGCCTGCGTTTCAAGTTAACCCTCTCAAAATGGGCTTAGGAAATGAGTTATGGAGGTAAAGGAAGGGCCCTTGGAGCTTGGGAGAGAGGAAGCTAAAGGTGATGTGAGTGGGGGAAGGGAGGAGGGGGGAGGAAAGGGGAGAGGGAAAGGCCCGGCAGGCCTGCTCCAGGGAGGGAGGGAGAGCACCCAAAGGAGAAATCTTTACAAGGCTCAGCTCCATTATCACAGAGCTGGCAAAAAAATGGGTTTAAAGCTGAGAGGCAATGAATTGATAGACGGCACGGATGGTGTAAAATCAGACGGCTTGGTCCTAGCTTAGCAGGTGGTGAGGAGGGGCTGGAGCATGGGGTTCATGGTGAGGGGAGACAAAGGCAGGAGTCAGACTATGGAAGTTTGAATAGTAGGTTGTTTGCTGAGTACATTCCAGGCACTGTACTAACTTTATGGGTGTCTTCTCTGATCCCAATAACGCTAGTAAGGGACGATTGGTCCACTTTTACAGATGGCTCAACTAAGCCTCACAGAGGTAAACTAGCTAGCCCAGGCCATACGGTCAGCAGTGGGAGAGGAGAGACTCAGGGCTGTAAGACTCCAAAGACTTTGCTCTTTCCAACATTCTAGCTACACGGAAGGTGAAGGAGTTTGGACCAGAGTAGCTTAGTTCTGGGCAGATGGTGTCAATAAGCTGGACATACCTTAGTGAATGGGAGAAGGCAGTGTGCCTGATGAAATCACTCATCAATAATTCAGGCCACTGGGCCTCATGGCTCTGAGCCTCCTCATCTGAGAGCTTACAACCGGAAATCAGAGACACCCCCGCTTCTCGCTAGGCCGAGCACTGGATTTAGTTTGGCCCAGAGCAGATCTGGCCATCTCCCTCTACACTCCAGGGTGGGAGATTGTGAATGCGACCCAGGGAACTGACGAGTTGACCCAAGTTCAGAAAGCTCCTGTCAAGGGTTGGATTTCCGGCTTGGGTCTACCTGTCTTGATATTCTCCAGAGATGGGGATGAGACAGTCTGAGGGTGGGTGCCTCCTGTATACGGCTGCTTTTCCAGAGGAGATCTGAGCTGACATCAAGAATGGAGGTTTTTAGAACCTGGGATAGATAAATTACCAAATATTTGTTCCAAAGAACAAATGCAGTCCTTCCCCCACCTCTTTTCTCTTATTATTATACTAGAGGCCCGGTGCATGAAAATTCATGCACTCGGGGAGGGGGGGTTTTCCTCAGCCTGACCTGTGCCCTCTTGCAGTCCGGGACCCCTCGGGAGATGTCCACCTGCCGACATAGGCCCAGTCCCCGGGGGATAAGGCCTAAGCTGGCAGTCAGACATCCCTCTGGCAGCCCAGGAGCCCTTGGGGGGACATCTTTAGTGCTGCTGAGAGGGAGGGAGAGGCTCCTGCCACCGCTGCTGCGCTTGCAGCTGTCAACAGGGCTTGTGGCTGAGTGGAGCTCCCACTTTGGGAGCGCACTGACCACCAGGGGGCAGCTCCTGCGTTGAGCGTCTGCCCCCTGGTGGTCAGTGAGCGTCATAGTGACTGGTCATTCCTGGTTGTTCTGCCTTTAGGGTCAATTTGCTTATTACCCTTTTATTATATAGGATTCAGTCACTATGAATGTGTTTACAATTTAAAAATTTTTTCCTCACACACACACACACACACACACATTTGACACACAGTATTACATGCTTAAATAGTTCTGAATATAAGAAGCAAGGATCATCAATGGATACTAAAACTATTGAGAGAAAGGCTGTTAAGGAACAGGATATTTGTACTATTTTAAAGTGTTGCCCCACAGATTACTTATCCTATCTAATAATAGACAAACATGGTAATTGACCGTACCTTCGCTACGCCTCCCATCGGCTAATCAGTGAGATATAGAAATTAACAGTCAACAAAGATGGCGGTTAATTTGCATACGTAGGCTCGAAGTGGCAGAGTGAAGACTGAAGGCAGCTCTGGCTGGAGCAGCGAAGACTGAAGGCGGCTCCGGCCAGAGCGAAGGCCTGTGTCCCCGGTGCCAGAGGAAAACCGGTGCCGGCAGCCAGGGGAAGGGAAGGCCTATTGCATGAATCTTTTCGTGCAACAGGCCTCTGGTTAATTATAAAAGGAAGACGTTTCCTTGACATGGAGTGATCTGGTGGGCACTCCCCTAACAAAAGGATCAAACTGAGCATCACCAGATAGGATGGGACAAAACGGCAAGATGCAATGCAATGTGGGGGGCACCACCTGTGTAATCTTGCCAAGCATGTTTAAACTGCCTCTACTCATGAGGAAACCAGAAAAGTCAGGATTGTGGCACATTCTACAAGACAGCCTGGACTCTTAAAACATGTCAGTGCCGCCCAGGTGGTGTGGTTCAGTGGTTGACCCATGAACCAGGAGTTCACAGTTCCATTCCTGGTCAGGGCACATATCTGGGTTTCGGGCTCAATCCCCAGTAGGGGCTGTGCAGGAGGCAGCTGATCAATGAATCTCTCACATTACTGATGTTTCTATCGCTCTCTCCCTCTTCCTTCCTCTCTCTGAAATCAATAAAAACATTAAAAAAAAAGTCAGTGCCATGAAAGAAAAAAAAATTCATGAGATTGTTGTAGATGAAAGGAGACTAAAGAAAGGTGAAAACCAAGAGTAATGTATCATTCTTGATGACACCATTTTTCTGAAGAAAATGCTCAGATAAGTGGGGAAGGTTGAATAGGGATTGTTTGGATGTGACAATGGCATTGTGGCTCTGCACCCCTTTTTAATCCAAGTGTGGTCCCCAGATCAGCAGCATCAGCATCACCTGGGAGCCCATGCAGACGTTCAGGTTCCCCCCAGACCTACCAGGTCTCTAGATGATCCACATGCACTTTTAGCTTGAGAAGTGCTAGTGCAGGAGAACTTCCTTAATTCGTAGAAGGTATATTCTCTCATGAGCCAGGTGGTCCTGGGTTTTTGATCCTTGTGAGAGAATGGGCTTGAAAGCAGTAAAACTCTGTATAAATGTTTACTGTTCTTATTATCTGTTGAGACCACAAGGGCCTTTAAATATATGTGCTCAATAAATATTTGTATAAATGAATGAATACATTGTTTCCTCCACTAAATCTTTTTCTCACCCCACAACCCTGGTTAAGCCTGAACCATCCCTCAGAGCTGAATCAAATGTCATCTCTTTAGGGAACCTCAGGAGCTCCTGTCTTTCTAGCAGGGTGGGGCCCCCACTAAATGCCACGGGGTTTTACTAAAGTAGAAGAAACAGGGAGAAACCCGTGCCCCATAGCTCCTTGCATTAGGGCTGGAATCCTCACTTGGGGAAAATTTTTGGAGGCCCAAATAGCTCGTGTGAATTGTGTCTTTAGCTCCACAGTCCTAGAGAAATTCTCGAACAGGTCTACTAGGGGACATGTTCAAGGATTTCTCTGCAGTTTTTTTTCTTTTCTAAAATATATTTTATTGATATTTTACAGAGAGGAAGAAAGAGGGATAGAGAGTTAGAAACATCAATGAGAGAGAAACATCGATCAGCTGCCTCCTGCACACCCCCTACTAGGGATGTGCCCACAACCAAGGTACATGCCCTTGACTGGAATCGAACCCGGGACCCTTCAGTCCGT